TATATATATTATTTTTTTTTTTTTTCAAAAAGGATGCATTAAATTGACAGTAAAGTCTTTTACACTGTTACACAATATTGTTATTTCAAATAAATGCTGTTTTTCTGAACTTTCTATTCATTAAAGAATACTGAGGAAAAAAATAGTATAGCAGTTTCCAAAATATTAAGCAGCAAAAAAAATTTCAATATTGATAATTGTAAAAAAGGTTTCTTCAATAACAAATCAACATAACAGAATCAGGATCATTCTATCATGACACTGAAGACTGGATTAATGACTGCTGAATATACAGCTTTGCCATCACAGGAATAAAACAGTTATTAAAACTGTAATATGTCAAATATTACTATTTTACTGTAGTGTATGTGTTTTACTGTAAAGTAATGTACTTTGAAAATGCAAGAGAGAAAAAGTCGTATTTTTCCACCTTGGAAACAGCGTACATTTTTAGGTGTTCTTGAGTAATATTCAAGATAATCTAGATCAGTGAATCTCAAACTTTTGGCATACCGGACCCCAGTCCAATTCAGAACCATCCTCAAGGACCCCCAGAACAAAATTGACTCATCTAGGTATCATTTGTGTCTTTGTGAGGACCAAATGCAGTCAAATATAATTTAAGTTAGTTGACTTGTCCAGTATTTGGCCATATCATCAGCTATATTAGATTTTTCTTTCATGGGAACAGGAGTCATGTCAAAATATACAACATTTATACAAAAAATCATAATTTATACTTATGTCAAGGACCACTAGGGGTCCACGGACCCCTGGTTGAGAAACACTGATCTAGATCTTAAATACTTAAGTACTATTACTCAAATATCCCCCCTGACATCAGAAGTCTTACACAATCACCACTGATCCAGCTGTGAACACCTGGGTCAATTCTACAATGCTGCAGAGCTCAGACTGACCAGTAGGGGGCACAGCACAGATGCATAATGCAGGGGACGTGGGTGGGAGGCTGAACTGATCCAGAATGGTATTGGAGCGAGCCGGGTCAATCACTGTGACATCACTGCTGGAAGCAGGTCCAGTGACGGCCCACACACAACACTGAGGATGGGAGGCGGCGTGTGAAATGTTTACAACCATGAATGACATGATGCAACATGGTAATTAAGTTATAGATGAAGGTGCTGGTTAAATGCATTTTTGGACAAGAACACAACCTGTTCTATAATACAAGGTTCCCACATTGATGGAAACCCTGAAAATATGAGGGAAATTTAAAACTGGGATTTCCAGTCCTGGAAATTTCTATAGTGAGTACAATTTTATTCTAGTTATGCATGGCTCTAAAATATTTAATTGGCTAGAAATTGCTTATTATGAGTGTAATGTGTATGAAATTATTTTTAAAGACCAGTAATGCATTGGTCAGAAGGTGTGGGAACCCTGTACATGTTAACTAGCTGTAAAATACTGTGAAGGTTTGTTGAACGTACCGTCTGCTCTCCTGATATCTCTGGAGGAACTGCAACAGCACATGTGAGCTGTAAAAGATTAAACATTTATTGATCAGCATCC